CCCCCCCTTTCTCCCCTCCCCCTTCTCCTCTCCCCTCTCCTCTCTCTTCTCCCTTCCCTTTCTCCCTCCCCCTCCCCTCTCTCCCCCCCCTCTCCCCCCCTCTCCTCCCCTCCCTCTCCCCCCCCTTCTCTCCCTCCCTCTCCCTCTCTCCCCTCCCCCCCCCTCCCTCCCCCTCTCCTCCCTCCCCCTCCCCCCCCCCCCCCCCCCCTCCCCTTCCCTCCCTCCCCCTCTTCCCCCCCCCCCCCGTCCTCCTCTCCCCCTTCCCCCTCCTCTTCTCTTTCCTACCTCCTCCCTTCCCCTCCCCTCTCCTCCCCCTCCTCCCCTCCCCTCTCTCCCCCCCCCTCCCCTTCCCCCTCCTCCCCCTCCTTCTCTCTCCCTCTTCCTCCCTTCCTTCCTTCCTCTCTCTCTCTCTCTCCCCCTTTCTCCCCTTGCCTTCTCCCCTTTCCTTTCTCTTCCTCCCTCCCTCGCGTCCGCACCCTCGCGACCCCGCTCCCCTCCGTCTCTTGTTTGCCGCTCCCCCCCCTCTCTCTCTCCCTCTTCTCCTCTCTGTACCCCCTGGTCTATCCCCGTCCAGCCCCCCCCCCCCCGCACCTTCCCTCTCCCCCTCTTTTTTTTTTTTTTTTCAGCCTACTTGTCTGCGCCGATACGTCACACAGTCCTAGACGCTTGGGAAGTGTTCGACTTGTGATATTTGTGATACGAAATCCAGCATATAGATCTCATTTGCTGTGACATACTGTGCTTTTGTGTCAATAATAATAATAATAATAATAATAATAATAATAATAATAAATCACACAGTCCTAGATGCTTGGGAAGTGTTCAACTTGTGATTTTGTGATACGAAATCCAGCATAGAGATCTCGTTTGCTGTGACATACTGTGCTTTTGTGTCAATAATAATAATAATAATAATAATAATAATAATAATAATAATATATCACACTGTCCTAGACGCTTGGGAAGTGTTCGACTTGTGATTTTGTGATACGAAATCCAGCACAGAGGTCTCATTTGCTGTGACATACTGTGATTTTGTGTCAATAAAATAATAATAATAATAATAATAATAATAATAATAATAATTAAACTCACTGACGCTTGGGCAGTGTTCGATTTGTGATTTTGTGATATGAAATCCAGCACAGAGATCTCGTTTGCTATGACATACTGTGATTTTGTGTCAATAATAATAATAATAATAATAATAATAATACATCACATAATTCTAGATGCTTGGGAAGTTTTCGACTTGTGATTTTGTGATACAAAATCCAGCATATAGATCTCGTCTGCTGTGACATACTGTGCTTTTGTGTCAGTAAAATAATAATAATAATAATACTTTATACCCCACCACCATCTCTCCAAGGGGACTCAGGGCGGCTTACATGAGGCCAAGCCCAATAATATAGAAATGCAAATAAACAACACACAACGACAATAAAATATAAAAATAAAATACAAGAAACAATGTAAATATGCACATTAAACAATGCAATGAAAATAATGTTATGGTTGGGGGTCACCACAACATGAGGAACCGTATTCAGGGGTTGAGAAACACTGTTTTAAAAGGTAACACCCTTCTGCATTTCTCAGGACTCCTGTCCTATTTACATTCTCTGTTAATTACCACCACAATCCCCAAAGCAACAGATCAGACTTTTTTGTCATTCAAAAGAAGAAGAGAATCACAAAGACTAGATATTCCTAGTTCTTTCTTTCTATCTTTTTTTTTTTTTTTGGCTGAATTATTCATATTGTCGGGACACATGCCTTCATAATGAATTTGATATTAGTTAAGGCATAAATAACTTACAGTTTTATCATTACAACAGCTGCTGGAATTTAGCAATATTAGTTCAGCAACATCTGAATGCTGTTTTGAGGCATGAAATATTAAAATCTTAATTCTGAACAGACAGGATGACAAGATGATTCACGGTGAGAGGCTCCCCTTTGCCGATCGGCACAGAAAGGAGGCTTCTGCGTGGAAAACGGTGTTTCTTGGACATCTGTAACATCTATTCATGTACGAAAAGTGTGTATGTGTATGTATGAATATATTTATTTATTTATTTATTTACCTGACTTATATACCGCTGTTCTCAGCCCGAAGGCGACTCACAGCGGTTCACAACAAATACGAACAGCAAAAAATTCAGTGCTACAGTATAGAAACAGTTAACAACCTAACACATTACACAATTAATAAACAGTTACTACAATACCCATTCACTGTCGTCTCATCATCAAAAACATGTTCCAGATTCGTCATCCATTGTTCCATTCCAGTGTTCATTAACCAATCATTGCACTAATTATTCAAACACCTGCTCAAACAGCCAGGTCTTCACTTTTTTGCGGAATACCATTAGAGATGGTGCTAGTCTAATGTCCGTAGGAAGGGCGTTCCACAGCCGAGGAGCCACCACCGAGAAGGCCCTATCTCTCGTCCCCGCCAGCCGAGCTTGAGAAGCAGGCGGGATCGAGAGCAGGGTCTCCCCGGAAGATCTCAAAGTCCTGGTGGGTTCATAGGCAGAGATGCGGTCAGATAGGTAGCTTGGGCCGGAACCGTTTAGGGCAGTGGTTCTCAACCTTTCTAATGCCGTGACCCCTTAATACAGTTCCTCATGTTGTGGTGACCCCCAACCATAAAATTATATATGTTGCTACTTTGTAACTGTTAAGGCGAGGTGCAGGGGGGTGGCTCTGCCTGTGGCCTAGTTGGAACACCTCAGCAAGTGAGAGTCCAAAAGTGGCAGGCTCAAACCCAGAACCTCAACCAATGGCTGATACCAAATGAGAAACTCCCCCCTGGGCACACAGAGGACTGGGTGCCTTGGAAGGCACTGAACAGACTGCGCTCTGGCACCACAAGATGCAGAGCCAACCTTCAGAAATGGGGCTACAAAGTGGAATCCTCAACATGTGAGTGTGTAGAAGAGCCAACCACTGACCACCTGGTGCAATGCAACCTGAGCCCTGCCACATGCACCATGGAGAGCCTTCTTGCGGCAACATCAAGGGGCCAGATGATGTTCAAAGGACATTTAATAAACTACCAAACTCACACATTTTGTATTTTCTGTTTATTTGCTTTGCTCTGTAAGAAATGTAATATAACTGACTGGCCATAACTGACAGGCAGAGCCATCCGCCCGCTCCTCGCCTCCATCTTCCAGCTGAAGGAGACGGGAGGCGGGCGGGAGGCTCTGCCTGCGGCCTAGCGCCACCGGAGCCTCCCGCCCGCCCTTCACCTCCATCTTCAAGTTGCAGAAGGAGACGGGAGGCGGGCGGGTGGCGCTAGGCCGCAGGCAGCCCCCCCGCCTCCCGTCTCCTTCAGCTGGAAGATGGAGGCGAGGAGCGGGTGGATGGCTCTGCCTGCGGCCTAGCGCCACCGGAGCCTCCCGCCCGCCCCTCGCCTCCATCTTCAAGCTGCAGAAGGAGACGGGAGGCGGGCGGGATGCTCCGGTGGCGACTAGGCCGCAGGCAGAGCCATCCACCCGCTCCTCGCCTCCATCTTCCAGCTGAAGGAGACGGGAGGCGGGCGGGAGGCTCTGCCTGCGACCTAGCGCCACCGGAGTCTCCCGCCCGCCCCTCGCCTCCATCTTGGGCGGATCGACGTTTATTCACCCTTTAGCCCGGAACAGAGGTGAGTCTTCTTCATCCAAATGGTTAGTCTTCTTCATCCAAAGTTTCTCCTCCTGACTATCCACAGATCTCTGGGAAGATCAGGAGGAGCAGCCTATCAGTACAATTGACTTGTGGGTCGGCCGCCATTTTGGAGGGGGCGTGGCTAGCCAATGCGGCTTGGCGACCCCCAGAAAATGGCCAAACGACCCCCCGGGGGGTCGCGACCCCCAGGTTGGGCCGGAACCGTTTAGGGCTTTAAAGGCCAACGCCAGCACTTTGAATTGGGCCCGGTAGCAGATCGGTAGCCAGTGGAGTTGGCGCAACAGGGGGGTTGTATGCTCCCTGCGCTCCGCTCCTGTTAAAATCATAGCTGCCGAGCGTTGGACTAGTTGGAGCTTCTGAGCTGTCTTGAAAGGCAACCCCACGTAGAGAGCGTTGCAGTAGTCTAAACGTATATATATACATATATGTATATATATACACACACACTAGCCATCCCTGCTCGTGATCCCGCCTGCGTCGCAAGCGCGTCTGTTGGGGACACGAGACAGGGCTTTTCCGTGGTGGCCCCCCGACTCTGGAACACCCTCCCCAAAGATCTTAGACAGGCCCCTACATTGGCAGTCTTTAGAAAGAACTTGAAGACCTGGCTGTTCCAATGTGCCATCCCAGAATAGGAAATCTCCAATACCAAGTCCAATAAGCACTTTACTAGAACTAAGATTGCTGCACACCGCACACTGCACTTGCCCTATAAGCCTTATATACCACCTGTCACATCAGCACTTTTAATCCTGTACCCATTACTCTGGCCGGCCCAGTTTTATTGTGTCTTAGTGTATTGTTTATTGCTTGTTGTTTATTGCTTTAATTGTTTTTAATTTGCTTTAGGTTTTGTATTTTTATTGTGTGTTGAGGCCTTGGCCTTTGTAAGCCGCATTGAGTGCTTTAATTGTTTTTGATTTGCTTTAGGTTGTGTATTGTTATGTTGTGTTTTGAGGCCTTGGCCTTTGTAAGCCGCATCGAGTCCTTCGGAAGATGCTAGCGGGGTACAAATAAAGTTTAATAATAATAATAATAATAATAATAATAATCCCCTGCCACGCGTTGCTGTGGCCCACATGGGGGTTCTGTGTGGGAGGTTTGGCCCAATTCTATCGTTGATGGGATTCAGGATGCTCTTTGATTGTAGGTGAACTATAAATCCCAACAACTACAACTCCCAAATGTCAAGATGTATTTTCCCCAAACTCCATCAGTGTTCACATTTGGGCATATTGAGTTTGGTCCAGATCCATCATTGTTTGAGTCCACAGTGCTCTCTGATGTAGGTGAACTACAACTCCCAAAACCAAGAGAAAATACTAGAAGGGTTTGGTGGGCATTGACCTTGAGTTTTGGAGTTGTAGTTCACCTACATCCAGAGATCACTGTGGACTCAAACAATGATGGATCTGGACCAAACTCTACACGAATACTCAATATGCCCAAATGTGAACACTGGTGGAGTTTGGGGGGAAAAGAATCTTGACATTTGGGAGTTGTAGTTGCTGGGATTTATAGTTCACTTACAATCACAGAGCATTCTGAACCCCACCAACGATAGAATTGGGCCAAACCTCCCACATAGAACCCCCATGTGGGCCACTGCAATGCATGGCAGGGGACGGCTAGTAAATAAATAAAAATGACATCGTATAATCTTAAGCATTAGCAGAAAGATTTCTCATTGGGGTGAGTAGAGCGGGGGGGGTTGGCCCTTGTGGTCCCGTCTCCAACCATTCTGTGATGCTGAAGCCTATGAAGAAGGAAGGGTCCATTTTCTCCGGTCACGCCTGAGAAACTTACTTTGAGATGAAAACAGGCCACGATGGGTAATTTCTTCATAGTGAGTTGTTTGGTGGATTCCTGGTAGCTATGGCAACCACTACATTTGATTTTGGCACTGCTTCCTAGGTGTTCTGGCCTCGTAAACCTGTATTTTTTAAAAAAGAATGGATAGCACAGTCATATATTTCAATTATAAGGAGCTTCTCTTTTATACTTAGCAGGAAACTACACAAGCTTCTAACTTCGGCCCTTCCGCACGTTCTCTTCACACCCGTTGTTCCAAAAATATTACCAATTTCTTGGCTTGTACCCTGTGACCTGCTAGTGTGTCTTAGGAACACACAAACACACTAATAATGCAGACATTTGTACAAACCAATATATACTGTATGCCAGGGGTCCTCAAACTTTGTAAACAGAGGGCCGGGTCACAGTCCCTCAAACTGTTGGAGGGCCGGATTATAATGTGAAAAAAAACAATGAGTGAATTCCTATGCACACTGCACATATCTTATTTGTAGTGCAAAAAAAACTTAAAAACAATACAATAATTAAAATGAAGAACAATTCTGACAAATATAAACTTCTTAGTATTTCAATGGGAAATGCGGGCCCGCTTTTGGATGATGACATAGGATTGTTGTTGTTGTTGTTGTGTGCTTTCAAGTTGTTCCAGACTGAGGTTGACCCTGAGCGAGGACCAGGTAAATGACTTTGGAGGGCCGTATCCGACCCCCGGGCCTTAGTTTGAGAACTAAGGCTTTGGCAGGAAAAACGAAATGCAAAGATACAAAATGGGGGACGATGAGGCCTGGCTCGAGAGCAGTACGTGTGAAAAAGATCTTGGAGTCCTCGTGGACAACAAGTTAAACATGAGCCAGGAATGTGATGTGGCGGCAAAAAAAGCCAATGGGATTTTGGCCTGCATCAATAGGAGCATAGTGTCTAGATCCAGGGAAGTCATGCTCCCCATGCTCTATTCCGCTTTGGTTAGACCACACCTGGAATATTGTGTCCAATTCTGGGCACCACAATTCAAGAGAGATATTGACAAGCTGGAATGTGTCCAGAGGAGGGCACTAAAATGATCAAGGGTCTGGAGAACAAGCCCTATGAGGAGCGGCTTAAGGAGCTGGGCATGTTTAGCCTGAAGAAGAGAAGGCTGAGAGGAGATATGATAGCCATGTATAAATATGTGAGAGGAAGCCACAGGGAGGAGGAGGAGAGAGCAAGCTTCCTTTCTGCTTCCCTGGAGACTAGGACGCGGAACAATGGCTTCAAACTACAAGAAAGGAGATTCCATCTGAACATGAGGAAGAACTTCCTGACTGTGAGAGCCGTTCAGCAGTGGAACTCTCTGCCCCGGAGTGTGGTGGAGGCTCCTTCTTTGGAAGCTTTTAAACAGAGGCTGGATGGCCATCTGTCAGGGGTGATTTGAATGCAATATTCCTGCTTCTTGGCAGAATGGGGTTGGACTGGATGGCCCAGGAGGTCTCTTCCAACTCGATGATTCTATGATTCTATGAGTCGCATGGGTGGCACTAGATTGGATGCAGTAATGGGCTGCCAACATTGAAAGCAGAATGAAACTCGTTTGAAATTGCTCACATACTGATCTTAGTTGCATTCAAGTCGGGACACGCCTATTCCAATGAATTTCGAGACACACAACTTCTGCTGCAATTATTCCTTCTACCTTGTAAGCCTTCCCATTGTAAGGAGACTGAAAAGGCCAACAAGTAGTAGCTGAACTGTGGGAATCTTCCTTGTTTTACCCTTTCCACTGGCTGTCTGCTTATTATATATCCTTCCCAGTACTATATCTCCCACCAGAAACACCAAATCTGCCGAGGGAAGAAGGGTGTGAAGGAAAAAAGGGCAGTCCATTCATATTTACAGAGACTAGGAACTAGATTTCTGGGTCGTGACTCTCTTGGTGTTCCCAACTTGGATGTCTCTGCTGCGGTGCATATTTTACTGCCAAATGATAACAGTACGTAACATGTATTGTCGAAGGCTTTCATGGACGGAATCACTGGGTTGTTGTAGGTTTCGGGCTATATGGCCATGTTCTAGAGACATTTTCTCCTGACGTTTCGCCTGCATCTATGGCAAGCATCCTCAGAGGTAGTGAGGTCTGTTGGAAGTAGGAAAATGGGTTTATATATCTGTGGAATGACCAGGGTAGGACAAAGGACTCTTGTCTGTTGGAGCTAGGTGTGAATGTTTCAGCTGACCACATGTGGACAATTTCAGCATGTGGACAATTTCAACAGAAAGGAGGAAACCATGAAAATGAACAAAATCTGGCTACCAGTATTAAAAAAAACTCTAAAATTACAACAGCAAAACAACAGAGAGGAAACAATCAGGGACATCTAATCACCTCTCAACAAAAGATTGCCCCAGGCACTGCCAAGATCAAATGCTAATCAAGGTGGTCAGTTGAAACATTCACACCTAGCTCCAGCAGACAAGAGTCCTTTGTCCCACCCTAGTCATTCCACAGATATATAAACCCATTTCCTACTTCCAACAGACCTCACTACCTCTGAGGATGCTTGCCATAGATGCAGGCGAAACGTCAGGAGAGAATGCCTCTAGAACATGGCCATATAGCCGAAAAAACCCACAACAACCCAGTGATTCCGGCCATGAAAGCCTTTGACAATGACATCTAATCACCTCTCAACAAAAGATTCCCTCAGGCACTGCCAAGCCATCAAATGCTAATCAAGGTGGTCAGTTGAAACATTCACACCTAGCTCCAGCAGACAAGAGTTCTTTGTCCCACCCTGGTCATTCCACAGATATATAAACCCATTTTCCTAGTTCCAACAGACCTCACTACCTCTGAGGATGCTTGCCACAGATGCAGGCAAAACGTCAGGAGAAAATGCCTCTAGAACATGGCCATATAGCCCGGAAAAACCTACAACAACATGACTTTCGTCCCTGGATTATCAATGTCATTTCCTAATGGGCTCCATCACAAAAACATGGAAAAAGTTTATTAAACTGCAAAAACATTTGTTTTTGTGGGAAGGACATCCTGCAGCAACACATTTTGCTCTAGTTTTTCAATGAATATCAGATATGAGTCTCAACCAATTCAAACTACAAGGGTTATCTGGAAAGTAAGGTTACGAGGCATGTAGTTCTTGTGTACGAGGGATATCCAGAAAGTAAGGTTAGTACGTAGCTCTTGTGGAGAATTTTCTCAGGGGAAGTTGGTATCACTGCCGTGCAGTGGCAAACTGTCAGAAGTGAACGAGCAGTGCCAGTCGTCAGTAGCTCATCGACTGGAGTTGCACTGAAGGTAAGAGATGAGCGTCCTCATTCTGTTTTCCTCTAAGAGCAAAGTTTGCACTGTACGAGGGATATCCAGAAAATAAGGTTGCAAGCCACGTAGCTCTTGCGGGGAATTTTCTTGGGGGAAGTTGGTATCAATGCCATGCAGTGGCAAGCCATCAGAAGTGAACGAGCAGTGCCAGTCGTCAGTAGCTCATCGACTGGAGTTGCGCTGAAGGTAAGAGATGAGCGTCCTCATTCTGTTTTCCTCTAAGAACAAAGTTTGCACTGTACGAGGGATATCCGGAAAATAAGGTTACAAGGCACGTAGCTCTCGTGGGGAATTTTCTCGGGGGAAGTTGGTATCACTGCCATGTAGTGGCAAACCATCAGAAGTGAACGAGCAATGCCAGTCAGTAGCTCATCGACTGGAGTTGCTTTGAAGGTAAGAGATGAGTGTCCTCATTCTGTTTTCCTCTAAGAGTGAAGTTTGCACTGTATGAGAGATATCCGGAAAGTAAGGTTACAAGGCATGTATCTCTCACAGGGAACTTTCACGGGGGAAGTTGGTATCACTGCTGTGTAGCAGGAAGCCGGTGGAAGTTAATGAGCAGTGCCAGTCGTCAGTAGCTCATTGACTGGCGTTGTGGTGAAGGTTAGAGAGGAGTGTCCTCATTCCGTTTCCCACCAAGTGCGAAGCTGGTGCTGTAATACGCTATCTAAATGTTAAGGGCATGAAGGCCATGGGGTTCTGCTCCTTGATTTTTTGGAAACATGTGAAACAATCAATGCTGCAAATATTGTGAGACCACGGAGAAACTTTGCAGAGCCATCCAAAACAAACATGGGATGCTGATGGCGGGAGTTTGTCTCCTTCATGATGCACATCTGCACATCACTCATGCAACACGAGACTTCTTGACTTCATTTGGTTGGGATGTTTGAAGCCACCCTTTCTCACAAACCCAATCTCCCACCCAGTGACTCGCATCTGTTCACTAAATTAAAGGAACACTTTGGTGGAAGACACTTTTCTGATGACAACAAGGTGAAAATCAAAGTGACGAACTGGCTGAAAAAGGCAGAGGGAAACTTCTATGACACAGACATCAAAAACTCGTCCCACAGATGACAAAACGTATTAAACTGGATGGTGATTATGGGGAAAAATAATGTCATCCCTATGTTACAATCCATGGAAGTTGTATTAAAATTTTGTGTTTTTTTTAAAAAAAATCTTGTAACCTTACTTTCCGGATATCCCTCGTAGTTTGTGACCGCCACAAAAACAAAGTGTCTATAACTATCACTTTCAAAACAGGTAAGGTAATGGTAAAGGTTTCCCCTGACATTAAGTCTCTGGAACTCTGGTGCTTGTCTCCATTTCTAAGCCGGAGAGCAGGCGTTGTCCGTAGACACCTCTAAGGTCATGTGGCCAGCATGACTGCATGGAGTGCCATTACCTTCCCACCAGAGTGGTACCTATTTTTTTGTATACAACCTGCTTAATGTTTGCCTGGGCCTGCTGTCCTGCAAGTGGATTCAACTCCTCTGCAACTCACTTGCCACCTTGATTAGCATTTAATGGCCTAGCAGTTTTCAAGATCTGGCTTCTTACTACCTGGGGGAATTCTTTGTTGGGAGGTGATTAGCTGCCCCTGATGGTTTCTTGTCTGGAATTCCCCTCTTTTTGTGTGTTGTTCTTTATTTACTGTTATGATTTAAGAGCTACATTCACACCTACCTCAAGCAGACAAGAATTCTTTCTCCCACCCAGAGAAATAAAAATCCCATTTTCCTAGTTTCCAACAGACCTCACTTGCCACCTCGATTAATGGCCTAGCAGTTTTCAAGATCTGGCTTCTTACTGCCTTTTTTTTTGTTGTGTCAGGAGCGACTTGAGAAACTGCAAGTCGCTTCTGGTGTGAGAGAATTGGCCGTCTGCAAGGACGTTGCCCAGGGGACGCCTGGATGATTTGATGTTTTTATCATCCTTGTGGGAGGTTTCTCTCATGTCTCCGTATGAGGAGTTGGAGCTGATAGAGGGAACTCATCCTCCTCTCCCTGGATTTGAACCTGCGACCTGTCGGTCTTCAGTCCTGCCGGCACAGGAGTTTAACCCACTGCGCCACCGGGGGCTCCGTCCCACAGATGACAAAACGTATAAAACTGAATGGTGATTATGGGGAAAAACAAAGTTTCTATAATATAACAATGACTTTCAAAACAGGTAAGGTAAAGGTAAAGGTTTCCCCTGACATTTAAGTCTTTGGGACTCTGGTGCTCATCTCAATTTCTAAGCCGGAAAGCAGGCATTGTCCGTAGACACCTCTAAGGCCATGTGGCCAGCATGACTGCATGGAGCACCATTACCTTCCCACCGGAGTGGTGCCTATTGATCTACTCTTAATGAGACATGCCGCATTATCATGGGGTGCCTGCGCCCTACACCACTGGAGAAATTACACTGCTTAGCCGGTATTGCACCACCTGACATCCGCCGGGAAGTAGCAGCCAATAGTGAAAGGACCAAGGCAGTCAGCTCATCCCCTGTTTGAGTATCAGCCAGCACGTCAACGACTTAAATCAAGACATAATTTTCTTAGATCTACAAAGACACTCGCTGGAACACCCCAGCAAGCGAGAGTCCAAAAGTGGCAGGCTCAAACCCAGAACCTCAACCAATGGCTGACTCCCCCCCAGGGGAGACAGAGGACCGGGCGACTTGGAAGGCGCTGAACAGACTGTGCTCTGGCACCACAAGATGCAGAGCCAACCTTCAGAAATGGGACCACAAAGTGGAATCCACGACATGCGAGTGTGGAGAAGAGCAAACCACTGACCACCTGCTGCAATGCAACCTGAGCCCTGCCACATGCACAAGGGAGGGCCTTCTTGTGGCAACACCAGAGGCACTCCAAGTGGCCAGATACTGGTCAAAGGACATCTAATCAACTACCAAGCTCACAAATTTTGTATTTTGTCTGTTTGTTTGCTTTGTTCTGTTAGAAATGTAATATAATTGACTGGTTGTCCTGACACGACAAATAAATAAATCAATGTTTAAACCGGTCATCAGGTGGAGACACTTGTCTTAGTTTCCCTCCGGGCTTTCATCAATGTCTACAACATGCTCAATGTTTGCCTGGGCCTGCTTCCCTGCAAGTGGACTCAACTCCTCTGCAAGATGATTCAGCAGTTACAATGCAGAGGAGGTGCCGTTCTGCTCCTTGGCGGGTTGCCTGCAAACTGCTTGTCTGCAGACAAAAGGAGGGGAGTTCAAGCCATTCCCCTTCCAAAGGCCCGCTCATCCGTCTGCCACGGTTTGTACCTTCGCAAGCAGTCTGTGAGGGTGGTGGTTCCCGTCACGTGGCTCTCCCCATTGACCACGCTGCCGTCGCTGCCGGGGCTCAGAGGCCAAAACGGGGTGGAGGAACCGGGCAAATCCAAACTGATGTCCCAGAACGGATCTATCGTTGTGGAAACACCGCTAGGGAGAAAAAGAGAAGGGGGGGGGGATACACCGCTCAATTACAAAGCAACATTGCAGGGCGGAGGGCGCAGAGACCCATCTAAAGGGAGCATTACTATATGAAGTTGGGGGTGGGAGCAATCTTGACTGCTATTTGAATGCATAATATAATTTCACAAGACAATTCTAGCACAGAAAACCCTTTCGTGACTGTATTTCCTCCTGAAATATAAAATAAAAGGCGGGGGGAGCTGGTATTTCACCTGTAGAGGGTGCTCAGGTGATAGAAAACACTCTGGTCCAAACCAGGTTGTGAGCCATTGATTTCGTGGAGCATGCTCAAAGAGGAGAGAATTGCAGGCAATTTGCAAATTTATTGGGGTTTTCGCCACTCACGTTGCAAACACAACAAAGGTTTTTCATATTTCAAAACATGTAGGGTGGTAGTTTTGTGTAGAGGACAGTTCAGGGTACGATCTGGAGCAACTTCTGCTGCAAAATACACCCTGCTTAAGCGGTGCCTAATTTCTCTATTCACAGATCACAGCTGTTTTCGAACTGCTTAGGTGGACAGAAAGCATGGCCAAAGGTCGGGTGCTCACCCTGAACCAGGCTCGAACTGCCAACCTTTTGGTTGGGAAAGATCTATTGGGATGGTGTTTTGTAGCCTTGGTGCATCTCAAAGTCAAGTGAAGAATTCTGTGCTTTGAAAACAGAATTTGGTCTTCAAAAAGCCTGAAACTGGAAATGGAATGTTAACTTACTGGCAGACTTGGCAAGTGACGTCAGACTGCAGTCCACCTGTGAAGATTTGGTCTATGATGCAGTTACAGTGGTTGGGGTTGTTGGCTTTCTTCCCATTATCGTCACCTGGAGATGTGAGAAAACGAGAAGGCATCATCTCAAAGCCCACGTACTCCCAAGGTCTACACACACACCACATACAGGTAGATCTTACTCTTTGGTTTCGTACCCTAATATTTATTTATTTATTTATTTATTTATTTATTTATTTATTTATTTATTTAAAGCATTTATATTCCGTCCTTCTCACCCCGAAGGGGATTCAGGGCGGAGCACAACATATAAATGGCAAACATTCAATGCCGAAACATATTAGACCATACACATACAAAAGCATTAAAATCATATATCTCGACGGTGAAATCCACTAGTTAAAACTGTCTCAACCACCATATCGAATTTGGTTGGCGTACTAAGGGTTCCTTTTGCTGCCTCATTGCACAGTCCTAAAGGCTCGGTCCTACAGCCACGTTTTTATCATCCCTCCAAAGGACAAGAGGGAGGGGGCTGACCTGATCTCATTAGGAAGGGAGTTCCATAGTCGAGGGGCAATTACTGAGAAGGCCCTGTGATGTGGAGGCAAAAAAAGCCAATGGGATTTTGGCCTGCATCAAGAGGAGCATTGTGTCTAGATCTAGGGAAGTCATGCTCCCCATGCTCTATTCCGCTTTGGTTAGACCACACCTGGAATATTGTGTCCAATTCTGGGCACCACAATTCAAGAGAGATATTGACAAGCTGGAATGTGTCCAGAGGAGGGCGACTGAAATGATCAAGGGTCTGGAGAACAAGCCCTATGAGGAGCGGCTTAAGGAGCTGGGCATGTTTAGCCTGAAGAAGAGAAGGCTGAGAGGAGCCTGATCTCTTCGTTCATCTGGAGAGGCCCTACTCGTAATCCCACCTCTATCGTAAGGTGGGGACGAGGGACATGATAGCCATGTATAAATATGTGAGAGGAAGCCACAGGGAGGAAGGAGCAAGTTTGTTTTCTGCTTTCCTGGAGACTAGGACACAATGGAACAATGGCTTCAAACTACAAGGAGATTCCATCTGAACCTGAGGAAGAACTTCCTGACTGTGAGAGCCGTTCAGCAGTGGAACTCTCTGCCCAGGAGTGTGGTGGAGGCTCCTTCTTTGGAAGCTTTTAAACAGAGGCTGGATGGCCATCTGTCAGGGGTGATTTGAATGCAACATTCCTGCTTCTTGGCAGAAGGGGGTTGGACCGGATGGCCCAGGAGGTCTCTTCCAACTCTTTGATTCTATGATTCTCGTCCCCGCCAAACGTGCCTGGTGGTGGTGGTGGGACCGAGAGCAGGGCCTCCCCAGAAGATCTTAATCTCCACGGTGGTTCATAGGGGGAGACACATTCGGACAGGTAAATTGGGCCAGGGCCGTTTAGGGCTTTATAGGCCAAAACCAGGACTTTGAATTGTGCCCAGTAGCAAACTGGCAGCCAGTGGAGCTGGCGCAACAAGGGAGTTGTGTGCTCCCTGTGTGCCGCCCCAGTTATTAACCTGGCTGCCTCTTGCTGGACTATTTGAAGCTTCCGAGCAGTCTTCAAAGGCAACCCCACATAGAGGGCGTTGCAGTAGTCTATCCTAGATGTAACGAGAGTATGGACCACAGTGGCCAAGTCTGACTTCGCAGCTGGCGCACAAGTTTTAATAGAGCTCAAGGGCACAACAGAGGGGAGGCTGCAAAAGGAAAAGCCCAGCCCAGTTAGTGGGATAATAGGAACCTGCGTTTTGATATCTTCCGAGAAAAGTTTTCTCTCAGTCTCTGAAATCTCCCATTTAATTTAATTTAAATCCTGCTTTTATCTCAACATGGGGCTCAAGGGATCTTAGAGCATGCATTAAAACAAAGATCGGGTAAAGACTTTGGGTGAGAACATGAGAGGAGGAGGCCTTCTTCGTCGCTGTTCACAAGCTCCTTCCATCAGAGGACAGGACGCCACTTCAAAGCTTTCTTTCTGCTGCAGACAAAGACTTTCCATTCAGAGAGGGGCTTGGACCACTAGCCGGAAGGGTCGGTTAATGGTGAATATTACACCTTCCTTTAGTTCCATGTTTCTGAAATGCTTTTAATCTGTGACAATTCATTGCTTGGCTTTATCATGATAAGCTTGTTTATTTTTACTGGGTTGCGGTGAGTTTTCCAGGCTGTGCGGCCATGTTCCAGAAGCATTCTCTCCTGACGTTTCGCCCACATCTCTGGCAGGCACCCTCAGAGGTCGTGAGGTCTGTTGGAAAACTAGTCAAGAGGGTTTATATATCTGTGGAATAAGGTCCAGGGTGGGAGAAAGAACTCTTGTCTGCTGGAAGCAGGTGTGAATGTTGCAATTGGCCACCTTGATTAGTAGCACTGAATGGCCTTGCGGCTTCAAAACCTGGCTGCTTCCAGTCTGGGGGAATCCTTTGTTGAGAGGTGTTAGCTGCTCCCGATTGTTTCATGTCTGGAATTCCTCTGTTTTCACCCACATCACTAGCAGGCATCCTCAGAGGTTGTGAGGTCTGCTGGAAACTAGGCAAAAGTGGGGTTTATGCATCTGTGGAAAGTCTACATAGAGACCACCAAACGTAGCATTGAGTGGCCTCTGGCTAAGAAAGGTGGTATGCAAATGAGGTAAATAAATAACTAGCTAGCATTGCCCAAACACAAATCAAGGAATATGAAAAGCACTGCAAACTAATTCAACCAAAGAAGTCAGCCATAGCAGAGCACCTGATGAACCAAGCATATTATTGGAGAACACAGAAATGCTGGACCACTCTCACAACCATCTTGTCAAGCTACACAGAGAAGCCACCAAAATCCACAAGAAACTCTAAAATCAGGACAGTAAATAAAGAACAACACTCAAAAAACAGGGGAATTCCAGACAGGAAACAATCAGGGCCAGCTAACAAAGGATTCCACCGGGCAGGAAGCAGACAGGCTTGAAGCTGCAAGACCATTCAATGCTAATCAAGGTGGTCAATTGCAACATCCACACTTGCCTCCAGCAGACAAGAGTTCTTTCTCCCATTCCCCAGATAGATAAGCCCCACTTGCCTTGCCCCATTTGCAGGAATGTTAGTATGGAATATGTGCGATTTGACTATGGATTGGCCTTTGGACTACAACTCTTGATGACGTGATTCAATGAAATGTATTTTTATTATGCTTATTATGTTTTATTATGATTTGTACACCCTATCCCCTCCGAAATATTTCCATCCCAGTTATATCCTACCTTGCTCATGCCCAGCATTATTTTTTAAATTTTACATTTGACCCAGCCTTAGGTTTTAAATGCTTGATGTGTTACTATACTGCTTTATTTTGTCTTATTTTTGTTTATGAGATGTATTTTAACTGTTTTTGTTATTGTTTGTTGCTGTTGTTTTATTATTGATGTGTTGTGGGCTCGGCCTCATGTAAGCTGCACCGAGTCCCTTGGGGAGATGGTAGCGGAGTATAAATAAAGTTTATTATTATTATTATTATTATTATTATTATTATTAATAATAATTTTTAACATATGTTTTAAGGCACCGTGGAGGTGTGATTGTAAGCCGCCTTGAGTCCCCCTTGGGGTGAAAAAGGTAGGATATAAATAAGGTAAACAAATACATAAATAAATAGTTTCCAACAGACCTCACAACCTCTGAGGATGCCTGCCGTAGATGTGGGTGAAACATCAGGAGGGAATGCTTCTGGAACAGGGCCATACGGCCCGGAAAACTCACAGCAACCCAGTGATTCCAGCCATGAAAGCCTTTGGCAACACAATGTTTATTTTAAAATTGTTCTTCAATTGGTTTTAGATTCATTTTAGTTCAAGTTGTAAGCTACCTTGAGACCAAGGCAGGCAAATCCCATAATATAATCCATAGGGACTCCACCCCACTCAGACCCATCATGAGTGCCATTGGATCCCCCACGTACGACTTAGCAAAATTTCTTGCTGCACAGTTACAAAGCCATATTGGGCTCACTACACACTACATCAAGGACTCAGCCCACTTGAAAAAATCAGCAATCTCAAGCTAAAGACCAACGACAAACCGATCAGCTTCGATGTGGTGTCTCTATTGACCATGGTCCCAGTTGCAGACACCATGGCACTCATCAACCAGAGGTTCCCAGAAGACATCATGACGCTGTTTCACCATTGCCTCACCACCAGCTACTTTCAATGGGACAATGAGTTCTATGAACAGAAAGACAGAGTAGCCATGGGGAGCCCTCTCAGCCCAGTCATAGCTAATTTCTACATGGAACACTTTGAAAAACAAGCCCTGGAAACAGCCACAAAAAGCCCACGATATGGTTCAGATATGGGGATGACACTTTCACCATTTGGAGCCATGGAGAAGAAGAACTCAACAGGTTCCTGGCCCATCTGAACAGCATCCACCCAAACATCCAAAAGAAAATGAAGGAAGACGGCCTTTTCTAGATGTCCTAGTCATCCGCAAACCCGATCAACAATTGGATCACACCGTTTGCAGAAAACCCCCACACAGAGATAGATATCGGCATAAAAACTCCAACCATCACCCAAGTCAAAAAAGAAGCACCATTAAAGCCTTGGCAGACCGTGCAAACAGGATCTGCGAACCCCACCTCCTCCAAGATGAACTGAACCACCTCAACTGGGTGTTACAGGCCAATGGAGACTCCACCTCAGACATCAGAAGAGCTGCAAGACAACTGAGAAGAAGCCACGAGAGTCAAGACCAAGACCCACCCAGAGGGAAAGGGTTCTTGCCAGACATCAAGGGAACCACTGACCGCAGAGGGAAGCTGATGAGGAAACACAACATACAAACTATCTACAGACCCACCAAGAAAATCCAACAAATGCTCCGTTCAGCCAAGGACAAGAAGGATCCTCTCACTTCTGCAGGAGTCCACCGTGCAGCTGTGGACAAAGTCTCCAGAGGGACCACCAAACGCAGCAGCATTGCCCAGGCACGAAACAAGGAACATGAAAGGCACTGCAGACTACTTCAACCAGAGAAGTCAGCCGTAGCAGAGCACCTGAGGAACCAACCTGGACATAGCATATTATTTGAGAA